GGTTTTAAATGTCTCCAGAGAAGGACACTCCACAACCCCCCTGGGCAGCCTGTTCCAGTGCTCTGTCACCCTCACCATAAAAAAGTTTCATCTCATATTTAAGCAGAACCTACTATGTTCCGGTTTGCACCCGTTGCCCCTTGTCCTACCATTGGATGTCACCAAGAAGAGCCTGGCTCTGTCCTCCCGACACTCACCTTTTACATATTTATAAATGTTTATAAGGTCACCCCTCAGTCTCCTCCTCTCCAAGCTAAAGAGACCCAGCTCCCTCAGCCTTTCCTAAAATGTATCTTGCACGTTGACCAGCAACATATCAGAAGTGCTCACATTACAACTAGCCAAAAGCATTTGAGACATTTATTTTCATTTACAGCATTTCACTATTCACAGTGTTATTTTTAATGACACAGGGCATGTGCATTAATGAAAACTGAAGGATGTGACAGTCAATGTCATCATAGCTGCGGCATGCCTCAGTTAAAAAGAACGTGATAATGTCTTAACTCCTGTTGCCCCTGAATCCTGGAATTGTTCTCTGGTTTACATTGTCACTCTCTAAGGAAAAACATTTGAATTGTATTAAATATTAAGCCACAAAAAATAAATATTGGCCAAGGGACTGTAATAAATAGATAACAAACTCAGAAAAGTATCCTGCATTCGGAATAGAGAATAAGCCTAAATAAGAAACCCATTCCGGACCAAAAAAATTTTTCAAGACCCTTTCTTCTCTCCATATTTGGCCCCATTCCCTTGCAGTACATACAGCACAATATGAAGCCTGTATGCAAGAAACTGCTGCATTGAATTTAGGAAAATGAATTAAAACTATTGCTGTGTAGTAGTATTTTGAAATCTTGCTTAAAGCATGTCTCCTTTGGCTGGTTATGACGAATGTATTTAAGCAGTGTTTGCAGTTGCTTAAGTTCTTATATAGTAAATATTGACAGTTACTACAGCTTTCAGAAAAGGCTGCTGGACGCGGACTGTGAAAAAATATTTTTGTGTCACTCCCATGCAATTGAGATCAGGCTCTGTCTTTATAATAGACTGGTTTACACATTCTAATTATTATCAACACTACAATGATTTTCACTGCAAAAATATAACACCCTTTTTAGAGAAGGGCACACAAGAGAGAGGCTACTGATGCTTTCATGAGGCATGTAAAGTACTTCATTAAATAGCCAGTAACAACCACTGAGGGTTTTTTTTTTCATTTCTGTGCAAAATGCATTAATATTACCCTGCAAAATTATGCTGTTTGCACTTAATCATTTCAATTAATCTTTAGTAAATTACCCACTACTTTGTAATTATAATATTTGCAGCTAATTTAGTGCCATTCTAAAAAATCATTTGTTGCATAATATAAGCAATTAACATTTATTCATTTTTTCTATTGCAGGAGATATATAAATTATCCTCAGTGGCCTTTCTGTACACCTAATTAGCACCTGTCTGAATTATTCCACAGGCTATGGACGTTTCATTTGAAAAATAAATGCATTGCTAGTTTCATGAACTCTTTACAAATACACAGTTGTAAAATTTACTTTCCAGGTGAATAGAAAAACATGTTTTCATATGTCTTCCGTGTTTATGAGGTAGGCTAGGCTTTTAGGTTATTACATCTAGAATAGGTGCTGGCATTTTTAATGCATTTAAAATGGAAATAATCAGATACCTCTCTCGCATAATTAAGTAAACTATCCCAGATTTGTAGTGTATTCTGTAATGAAAAGGAAAGCAAGGGGACATCAAGAATATAGATCCTAATGTAACTCTCCCACTTCTGTATATGCATATACAACTAGGAAGTTTAATTAATTAGGGACTATCCAAAGCATTTCTGTGCTGTAGTGTCAAGGATAAAGTTGTGGAAATTAAAGCAGATTGCTTCAATGTAAGTAAGCTTCGAGGTAAACACTAATTTTCTATTTAAATGCAGAGTATATTGACTAAGATCATTTGATCTTTCTGAAAATGAGATCTGAAGCATTCTAACAAGAATGCCAATATGAAATATTTACAACCACCACACATACGAAATTAGGAAATCGAAAAGATTTTGAGATTTCTCTGTGGGTATAAAATGTTGCAACAGACTCAGCTCCTATAAATGAGCACAGCTCCTTTGATTTCAGTTTAGCTATGTAAATTTACCCCAGCCTAGTATCTAGCCCAAGAATGTGAATTCCTTCCCATCTTTTTGCAGGTGCAGAAAATCAAGAGTAACTGCAGAGATTACAAAATTTCATTACAGTTTTACATTCCTTGGGCCACTGATCAGATAAGTATCATCATGCCTCAAAAGGAAATCCGTAACACATGGGATGCTGTGAGTCTTCTGGCATTTTCCATTTTCAGGGGCATAGCAGGGGCTTTTTCAAGAGAAGCAGCTTGTACGATCTGGGGGCTAAGAGGAAGTGTTCATACTGTGAGTATCTTTTAGGGAAGAAAGTCTTTCTCAGAGGTTTGTCGATATAGATCAGACCTTGAGGCAGATCAAGTTTGAGTTTTCTGCTTCATGTTAAAGTGTAAGATCCAGGTCTTAAACTGGCCTCAGGAACTCAATGAGACTTGGTGGAGAGAACTGATGGCAGCTTTGATATTTTCACAGAAACTTAAGCAGCAGAGAAGAAAAGCAACCATATTCCGCTTCTGATGAAGCTTTTATATTTTTGCATTAATTTTCAGATAAAAATGACCTGGTGTTTTCCAGTCTAGCAGTGTCGAATTCATGAGTTCCTGTAACCTTATGTTATGCTACAGAGAAGAAAGGAGGTTTCCTCCTGAGTAGGAACAAAAAGAAGGTAGTTTTCTTGTTTGTTTTAAGATTGTATTTTACTTTGTGCAAAACATCCATACTTGGAAGAAAACCAAAATGGGATGTTGGGTTTCACAGAGACACAAATTCCCCTGATTGGAGTTGTTCTTGGTACGTGTAGTGCTAACAGTCTGTCCAATTGTCATGAAAGAGGATATCCTCCCCCTTTGGCTCTTTTGTTTGTTTGTTTGAGGAAAGCTATAGTATACGGCTTAAAATCACGTACAGTCAAAAAACTGTTGACAAGTCCACAAAGCAGTGAAGAAAGCAGATGTTTGCTGCTGGTGTTGTTAAAAATGAGAAAAGGAATTTAACTGGAATATTCAAGCTTTCACATTAGGGATGAACAATACAGTTGAAACCTATTCCCGAAATAACATAGTTGAATATGAGAGCAGGGTAACGGAGCAGCAATAATACATGAAATGTTTATTGTATGCCATTTTATTATACGGGGCAGTATTGGAATAAAAATGGAAGTCAACACACTATACCTTGCATCATACCACCATTTAATGTATTTACTGTACTCTAATATCAGAACTAATATAGTATGAATGTTTACAATACACTGGGGTAGATATTACAGCAAAATACATGCTTTGCCATTTAGATTTTTAAAGAATTAGTTTGTGGCCTCCTAGTCTTTTTTAGTTCATTTTATTTTACAGGAATTAATAGGCTGCTTACATTTGTATTATACATTAGTTGCATCCTGGGTATTTTAAGTTCCAAAATATATTGGTTTTGCCCTAAGCTGTATTCAAGCTATAATAATTATTTCTGTTTCCCAAGTGCGTTTTATTTGCAGTATATCTCTTTATATTTTATTGAATTGTCAGTTTTCTTTAGTTTGTTTTCAGCATTGAACATGATAAAGGCAATTTAAATAAGAAGTCTGGTATTTCTTCTTTTAAGACATTGAAGAACAAGGTTACTTTGAAAAGTTAAAGGAAACTGTGTTTTGTAAAGGACAGTGAGCTATGAATGGGAATAAAAATAAATAATCTGCAGCTGGAAATCGCTGTCTTCTGATATAATTTTTGTATTTTTTTTTCTGAGTGTTTTTCATCATCTTCATAAGTTAGAAAGATGGAAAAATCTTATTTAAGATTTTAATCAGCTCAGGTCATATTCAGAATAAAGGATACAGACCTTGATTACTGCTAGAGAGGTCAATACTTTGGCCATACTCTGGCAAAGAATGGTTTATTTCTTCAGCATGTAACTAGTCTCTTGCTCTTTTTGTAATAAATACAGTGAGATGTAAAGGTGCCTACCTGCTCTTCTGGGAGCTCTTAATATTATTGAAGAGACACAATACTTGCAGCAGTCTCCTGGGTAAATGCCAGCATACCTCCACACAACAGGTAGGACTCATTTCATCAAAACTTCCATTCCTACATAAACAATCAGATCTGAGCAAGACGGAGGTCTTGCAATAACTGTGTGCCATATTAAAAGCTTTGCCCTTGGTTTTGATTAGGATTGCATTACTTTTCCGTCTTCATATAGGCCACTATACTGGAAAAAGGAAACTCCCTGCTGTTTGCCTAGTGTTTTCATCGCTTGTCAGTTATGAACATCCCAGTTTCTCTTCTTTTGAAGGAGAAAAATTTAATTATTGTCAGATGCTGATTATAGTGCTGTATTATTGTCAGATGCTGATTATAGTGCTTGTGCTTCTACCATTTCATTAAGTGACAGAGCAGAGACCTTAGCTCTTGCAACCATTTGTTAGAGCTACTTCCCATGAGCTTCTTTTCATTGTTCTGTTAGAAAGGCTGTTTTTTTCCTGCTTATCTCTTTTATCTCCTGTTTTGGTAATATTTAGGAGGTTCTCCTAGTATTCCCAAAATGGGTTGGGTAAAGACCATAGAACCACAACAGTATCATGAAATAAATATTAAAAATAAGTCTTTAAATGACTGTATTCCTGCTATCTACCTACCTGTTTCTTTGTTTGTTTGTTTTGTTCTTACTCGTTTTGTTTTCTGGTTTCATGATGATTTGAGTGGTGCTTCTAAAGCACCCATAATTCCAGTTTTCCCTGATTCTTTGAAAATACTTCCTGTTTGAGGTTTTGGAGTTACATACAGCTCTTCTCACCATCTATGTAGAGTGCTTTTTGCTAATATACTCATTTTTGATCCATCTCCAAAGATAATAGCTAGCAGCTCTTTTCTGCCAATGCTAGAGGAATGCTTATTCTCTGAAGTGCTGCCTCATAAAACCTTTTAAAGTTTAAGAATTTTGCATTCATCCTCTAATTAAGCAGGTGTCTAATTCTGTGAAACTGCTTCATTCTGAAATCCAACCTGTCTCCACTTCAAAGGATGTTGTTTCTTTTTCCAGAGATGTTAAGAAAAACTGCTTCCTTGATGGTTCAAATTTGTAAGGTTATTAAAAGGCTTTGCTTCTCACCTGATTCAGTACTTACTTTCCAAAGATACACAGAACATACCAGATCTGATGAGATGCCTCACCAATGTTCCCTAATATATGGTATTAGAGTTCATCTTTGACTGAAAGTCTTGCTTTTCCCATCAGGAAACCAAATCTTTCCTAACATATTTGTTGTTGGTTTTGATTTTAAGCAATATGTCAGTTTGGCTCTGAAATATGTCTAGAATATATCATACCAAAACCCTGGGAAAAAGGAGAGCATTTCACCTTGCGTGTCCTGTAGGGGTTCCAGTATGGTGTAGCTCCAAATGCAACCATTGACTCACTAGACTGGTGGTTAGCTTGATGATCCTGACAGAAGCAGTGTGACTCTAGTGGAGGAAGTCTTTCTACACTTCAGTTTTACATTTGAGAAAGTCAGCTTTTTTTGAAAGTATGCTTGTGAAATCATTATTAACTCAGGAACCCAACACGAACCACAAATTGTCTCAAAAGAGCACACTGAAAGCACTCCTTGTGTAAGGAAGAGCTGAGTTTTATTTTCATTTATTGTGTGCCAAGGAGATTGTGTACCCAGAGTTAACTTTACACGAAAGAAGGAATTCTAAAAGCAACAGAAACCCATGTCCTGCACCTACAGGTTTAGGTCTGACAGGACAGATTACTACTTTTCTCATCATCCACGTTTTCAAGAAAACAACATACAGATGAAAGCAGTTTGCCAAGACAAGGAGAAGGAGATTACACAAGATGTGTACTGTGCACTGCTACTACTGTGAGCCCTGCTCACTCACTGGCTACTCACTCAGTGGCTACTCAGCATTTAAGGCCTTCTGGCTCCCCAGTTGTATGTCCAAGATAACACCTGGAACTTAAAAATGTCCACAGAGAAGAAAGAAGACTCATCTATTACAGAGTTGACTCCCATGGTTCAGTAAGCATTATTCTCTCTGATCCCTGGGGAAAAACAGCACCCTCTCATGGGGCCCATGTTTTCTCTCAGGGTTTGCACTGGAGCATGCTGGTGGTTTAGGCTAATGTTTTTCCAAGCAGGATTAAGAAAGGATGAATTAGGCTTGAAACAACCCTCCAGTTTCAGAGGTATCCTTTAAAAACAAACAAACAAAAAAACTTCCTTTTTCATACAACCCATTAGTTGTTGACTCCAGCAAGTGCTGGGGCAGCAGGAACCTGCTCCCTTTATTACACTGCACAAACTGTTTAGGTGTCTGTCCTCTCTTTTCTCAGCCAGAAGTGAGCAGACCTTTCTAGCTGCAAAATCAATAATTCATTAGAGTAACTCAGTCTGCAGCTCTAGAAAGTACCCTAGTTGTACTGTGTATAAAATGTGGATTTCCTCAAGATTTTTCTGGAATAAGAAACTCCTAAGAGTGGTGGTGATTTTGCTTTTCCCTGGAATGTATGCATGTTACCTGCATACCTGCTATGCACTGCTTTGCAGCTGCGTTCAGCTTGTGGTCTCTACTCACCACTTTCCCGTCTGAGTTCCACCTTAAACTGGATGTGAAGTTCTTGAGACACATTTAGTGCATCAATTTCCTCAGGGCATTTCTTTAATTTAAGGAAAGGTACAGAGAGTCCAATTAACCTCAGATGAAGAGACCCATAGTTCATTGTCTGTCTGGGAAAATGAACCTCAGGGAACTGTACTCTTACATTGCAAGTGCATTTCAGAACACAATCAGAATTCGTGTTTTTGGCTCCTACTCTGGCATGTAATCTATTAGAACAGTGTGAACAAACAAGTTCATTAACCTCCCAGAGCCTTAATTTTTTTCTCCTTGCAAAGAATAAATTATATTTACTGTGGGTGAAATCTGAAAAAAATCAACACCAATTAAGAAAATCAGTATTTGTTAACTTACTACACGGTGGTAACTACCCTGACCTTTTCTTATAAGCAGAATGGGAATTTGCAGAGAAGTAAATGCACTGGTGAATACTGAGTTTCTGATGTTGCCTACAAGATTATGTCCATACCCACAGTTACGCAAGTAACTAGGAAGGGCAGCTTATTTTGTCTGAAATGAAAGTCAAAAGCATAAGATTGATACTGTCAGATAGCAAAATGAGCTAATAAGAATATGATTGGTCCTGTTTCATGCAGCCTGCTATCATCCAGTCTCCCTTCATTGGAAGAAAACAAACAAACAAAAATCTAGGCATTGGCTTCATTCAGACAGAAATACATAACAGCATATCCAACATCAGGAAGATTTAAACATGTACTGAATGAAACATCTAGATATCAAAGTGCTATCTATCCTGTCCTAGTAAGCAAAAACAGAGATCCCCAAAACTATTTTACTAATACTAGAGTTAAAGGTGGCCCTACAGTGATGCAGAGCACAGCCATATGATGGTTTAATCTTTGTCTTTCTTCCATGCTGGCAGCCAGGAGTCATCTCAAGCCTTCCTATCCCTCAGTGCTCAGCTGTTCTCCAGAAATGAGGCTTGTCTTACAAACGGGCAGATCAGTGTTGCCTCAGTTTTGTGCTATTACCTATTTCTTTGCATCTACAGATACCTAGATGTGCAGAAAAGCCTGTATGTATCAGCAAATTTTTTCAGTTCCTTAAAGGTTTTATCAGAAAGGTTGGCTCATCTAACAGACTCTAAAGGGATGGTTTCACAAAGTGAATTCTAAAAAGAAGAATGTAATTCCTTACCACTTACAAAATAAGGATCTCTGTCCCAGTGAAAGAGCTTGAGACACACCTCAGTCTCTCATTGCCTAGGCAGCTCCTTGGCTACATTTCTGGGCACATCTCTTGCTTCATGTACAGGATTGTGGGTTCTCATAGAGTCTAAGGCAAGAGATGAAGTGCTTACTGCTGCCAATGTCGTGTTTTGTTCTCCTGAAAAAAAGACCAAGAAATAATTTGTGGCTGTGATTTAAAGAGCTAAAAGAACAAACCACTGTGGAGCATTTAATACTGGCCAGCTACAATGGACACTCACCTGTGGGTACCTAGGCTTTTAGTCCCCAGCATATCTAGGACATGCTCCAGAGAAAAACTAAAGAATATTTCTGCTAGCATTTCTAGGGGAGCCAGACTGAGACATGAAGCTGCATAAAAGTTAACAGTGGCTGAATAATCAACTCCTAGGTACAAGAAGGGTTAATTCATTGCTTATTGAGAACAAAGCAAGGTAGTGATATAATAAATGACTCTAAGGTGCTTCACTTTTATGATTGTATAAGACAGCACTTTGTGTTGTCTCATGAGCAAAGGTCAGTGAACTGTCAGTCCTCATTACTTCGGCAGATGTTCTTTTGAGAACTCCGAAACTAACTTCATGGTACATGGAAATGAGTACATGTCTTTAATGGTTATCTTCAAAAATCAATAAGCATAAAGCTTAAAAAGAAGGGAAGTCAGTAAATGGAAAGAATTGTGATTAAAGAGATGAGCAGAAATGAAGAAAAAATGCATTACTCAAAGTTACCAGTTTGTCCCATGAGAGAAGAGTTAAGCAGTACAATTCCTGATTGGACTAGTGGACCATCTCTGTCTAAAACAACCTACCCCAGGAAAGAAAATAGCAAAGACTAAGGATGTGAGAAAATTACAAAAAACATAAAGGAGAGTAATGGAATCACTCATGCATTGGATACATTTCTTCTACCTCCAGGATTTAACTCTATGCTCTGAATTTGCTTTGACAATGGATCTGGGATCCCCCAAATAAATATACATCCTTGTACCACACTGCACTGTGCATATTCTCTTCAGAGTTCCAGACTTTTCCCTGAACCATTGCAAGAACCCATCCCCCTCTTATTTTGCTTTGTAAACACTTATGTTTCCATTTATCATCTTAAACTGCCCAGCTGTTTTAAATCATGCTCCTAGATTCAAGCTATCTTCCAGAAGTGATTTTTTTTTTAATTCTTCTATTCAGAGAAAGAATAACAGCAGATGCTCATTAACCTTTTGCATGGTATTTAGTAATCATTACATCTTTAAAATAGCCCATCAGTGAAATAATAGCAGGAGATCTTTTTTTCAGTTCCACCAAGAGAAGCTTGCCTCTTCTGTTTCTTATCAATATTTAACACCTGTCTTTGAACTCTGGTGTCTTCTCTACTTTTTCCTTTCTAATGGCAAGTCTAGAAATGAACAAAGCCATCTGGAGGTAAGAGCGCTATGACTTTGATAGTATTCCAGGCTCATATGCAGGGTCCTAGAGTGTATGCACAGCAAGTGTAAAGAAAACAAAATATTCCTTCCAGTGAGCAACAGAATAAAAGTTTTTTTCCCTTCAGTTCCAGGTTTTTATTTAAATTTATCAGCACCAAATTCCACATATTTTTGTCCCTGGGCATAGCGTCTCTTTGAGGGGAGCGGGAAAAAATGAAAAAACAAAAAAAAAAAAAGCAAGATGGGCAGATCATAAGAATGTAATCAAACTGCTTAAAGTCATCTTTCTTTGTTTGTCCTAGATATTGAAAAAAATTTGGGTTGGACTGAGTGAACTAAGCATCAAGTTATAAAAGATCATTTATGGAGCAAAATGGAGGTTATACTCTGACACTGGAGAAGAATCACAATTACAGTGCAAAAGAAAACATTCCCAGATTCTACTCCTGCTATTTCCACCTTATATTATATTATTACATATGAAGGAAAATTCACATCCTATCAGGATATTCACGATACTCTGAGAAATATGAACTGAATTCTTTACCTATGTTATTGAAGGGTAAATATTTTCTCTTAAGACTACTGGTTTGGACCTTTGCTGAGCTTCACACCTTTTCTTTCTTACCTTCATAACACCACAAATTGTAGAGAGGAACAAACTTATTATTCCACTCAAAAGAAGTTGAGAGTACACTTACAACCTCATCAGCTGAGGTGGAGGCTCAAGTTCTCCTTTAACCCGTATTTTCTTTTGTAAAGAACACTTGAAAGTGACTGCTTTCACCAAAGAGAGACTATCCATGGGAGACTGAAAGCAGGTGCATTTTGCATTTTATGGCTTTTGTGGATTATGACTAATTGATCGATGGGAAAAAATAATAATAATAATTAAAAAAAAAAAAAAAAAAAAAAACAGATCAGACCGTCCTGCAGTTAATGAATAAGTGGCTTTTTCCTGCCTGGGACCTAATGAGAGAGGGATCCCCAAGAGTCATCCACTAAGGAAGAAATGAGCAGTATATATAGTATAATGATGTGAATTCAATACCCACCCAATTTATTTTAAAACGCATCTGTGAACATCCTTTGAAGATATCCTCTGGAAGAAATTCCTTTGTAATCTGTCATGTTCCACTGGGGTTGGCAAACATCTGTGTGTGCAGCAGGGGAGAAGATGGAGAGGATTTATTTTATCAGGTTTTCTTTAGTGAGGTTTAACCTTCTTTAGTCTTTCAGTTTCCCTTCCCCTCCTAATAGCTTCCTTCAGATATTTCCCTTTTTAAGCAGCCCTACTATGTGGAAGAATCCACATATGACTTAGGTATTTAATTAAAGCAATTTGTACTGAGTTATTCTAATGCCAGATAGCTGGACCAAGCTCACTTCTATATTAAGGCAGATGCACATATACAAACCCCTTTAATCTTGCTTCTCATCTTTCTCCAGATGCACTAATGAACAGTCATTGGCAACATGAAAAATAAATATTATTAGTTTATCTGTTGCTTCTTCAGCAATAAACTCTCATTTGCTACCAAAAGGCAAAGGTAACCCCTCCAAAGAGGTAAAAACAAGAACAGAAAAAAAAAAAAAAAAAAAAAAAAAGACACACACAAAACAAACAAAAATACAATGCTGTTGAATTGATCTATTTCCAGATAGAAATTAAATAATTTATTTTGCAGTAACTTACTGGACAGTTGCATCGTGTGGTGTTTTTTTTCTTCTGAGAGAAGATAGGAGATGATGAACGCAGAACCAGAAGATAACTAAGACAGTGAGCAATGGCAAAAGGACTGGACAAAGTGAGGTACAAATACTGGGGAAAAGAAGGTTAGTTGAGGAAACAGGAACAGAAAATGATAATGGAAAAATGTCTTGTAAACTGACTCCCAGGACTAAGTTTACTGAGTTCTTTTCACACAAAATCTCAAAAAAATATCAAAAGAGATGGGAATAGTTAAAGGGAATTTAAATAGAGCAGTTGTACAGACCCTTTTAATGCTGTACATCCCTATAAAAAACACATTTAGGGAGTTGGGTCTAACTTGGAATGGATTTCTGTAGTCCTCTCATTTGAGTGATTGCCACCTGGAGAAAAAAAAAAAAGGTGGTTTGTTTTTTTTGTTTGATTGTTTGTTTTGTTTGTTTGTTTGTTTTTCACTTGACAGTTCTGGGCTCAAAAGTAGGTTTGAAAATACCCACTAGCTTTGTACCAAGTGCCAAAAAAGTTGCCAGTCCCTGACACACAGGTGCATATGTGGAATTGACAGGGAAATTGCCTTGCAAGGCTGGGCCTCTCTTGGCAGCTGTTGGAGCTGCCTTTAATGGGGCAGTGCTTCCGTTAAAAGCATACACATGAGCCAGCAGAAAAGCAAACACAAAATTAAGACAGCTCACAGTCAGCAAAAGAGAAGAAATATGTTTAATGGTTAAAAAATAATAATTATTATTATAATAAAAATATCAGGTTGCCCTTCCACAGTATTGAAGAGGTTTCATTTCCTTCTTCCCCAGAGTATATCATGAAGGATTTCCTTTGATTTTCTTGGCATTTTGAGCTATTAAGTTCTATAAATCAAAGGCCTCTCACAGGACAGCTGCTCAGTATGTGCAGGACACAGCCACTGCTGCTGCCTGGGGCTTGGCACCCCCAAGCCCTGCCCTGGGACCCCTTCCACCTGAGGGCAGGGCCTGAGGAGTCCCTGTCCTCACCTCAGGGCACGAGTGAGGCACCCTTGCCCATGTCATGAGGGGCGGAAGGGCCCCAGAGCCACCCCAGCTCGGCACAGGTGGTGCTGAGGGGCAGCTGCTGCTCTTTGGCCTCTCACCTGCAGCTTGTCCCCACTAACGGGTCTCCCTGTGGCACGGCATATGGCTGCTGCCCATGAGGCCTGTGGGGAGCAGGGGGAGGTGGGTGAGGAGGCCTGGGCCAGGGAGCTGCAGGTGCCTTTCCTCACTGTCCTCCTGAAGGAGCTCTCTGTGGGGATGCAGAGTGATCCTGCCTCATCCTTCCTGAGGAGAAGCCACAGCGCCAGCTTGATGCAGAGGATAAAACGTGAGTGGGGAGTGGGACAGGGATGGGGTGGGCCTGCTCGGTTAGGGCTGAAGCCCCCACAGGCCCTGTGGGGCTTCCTGCCCACTTCTGGTGGGGAGTGCTTTGTCTGTACAGCTTTCTGCCTGTTACATAGTGTTGTACAGGGTCACGGGTAAACTCAGGGTGTGCTGTGTGGTGTCCCTTGCGACGTAGGTCTGAGAAATAGGACCACCATGGGCTTGCTTCCAGTACCTCTCCTCAGCAGAAAGGGGCCCATGGTGCAGGCCGGTGACTGCAGGACAAAGTGGTGGCTGAAAGAGATGGGGGCCGGCTGTGGGGGCACTCTGCAGCATGCTACCACTGCTTTCTCCTGGGGTTGTGAATTTGCCTTGAAAAGCATTGGGGAAAGTCAGTTCATGGTGAGGAGAAAGCTTGCTCTGTCCCACAGACTGTGTGTGAGACTTGGTGTTGGACCCTACCAAGAATTTTTCCTACTTTTCACCACAGACAAACTTGTTACTTATATATGGATAAAACAAAAGGATGAATAAATATAAAATACTATTCTGTGCCTAGATGAGTTGTGAAAGCACTGTTGGATCTGCCTTGTTCTAGCCGTAAACCTAACGTGAGGAAAATTCTTGTGACTCAAAGGAAACAGTGATAAATCTCTCATGCTTTATCTTCTCTCTCTCTCTCTCTAATTTGTGTGACCTCTGTCACCGTTTGGTATCACTACTTATTACTTTGAAATGAGGGATCCTCCGTGGTATGCACTGTGCCTGTTCAGACAGTCCCTTCTGTAAAGATGATAAATCCTGAATAGAAGGGAGGGAAGAGAGAAAGCAGCTTGTGCAAGGTCATTCAGAGGTTGTTGGTGAAATAATTGGCTGTTTAAAATTTTTAATTAAAAAGAAAATCTAGAAAGTCCAGAGTTTTCCTCCTTGATGCACATACATGTATCACTGGCAGTAGTATCACAGCAGTGTGTCCAGAGTGGATGCCAGTGATGCAGAGTCTTCATCTGATTTTTCAGAAATAAAAGGTTATTTGGGGAAAAAAAAAAAATGGACTTTGCATTCATTGGCAAACATGGAGGGATGAAAATGTGCTCCTAGTTGTATTTCTCAGTGTATTTTTAACGCACTGAGAAAGTGTCAGAAAGTGGAAGAGGGTTTGTAGAGTGACAACTGGTAGTAGTGTACAAGCATGAAATCCAGAAGGAAGCTTTCAGGACGGCCTTCTGAGAGGCCTTACTGAAAGCTAGAGCTGTGCTACAGTAATCCAGACAATGCATAAGAGGGAATAAATAGAGTTTCTGTAGATGTGTGCTTCCTAGCTTGCTTGATAAGGTATCTGCCTATAGTCTACAAAGTCCCGAGTACAACTCCTAATTATGGCAATTTGCAGAATACTCATTTTGAACTATTTTCATCCCCTGGTTGTTGATTTGAATCTGAGTAAGATAACAATTATTTTAATCTCAGATATCCTGCCAACTGTGCAAAATGACTGTATTCTTCAGTTTGTCTCTTATTTACTGGTCTCCTAGTTCCCTCTCCTGTTTCTCCCATCCCTATGCAGACATATGCAGGAAATAATTGAAGAATGTATATTAATCCTTAGCTGCAAAGTTATCTTGACTTTAAGAGCTGCATGCAGATTTACTCCTCCACATCCCTCTAAATAATATCCACTCTGCTCTCTTCATTAAAACTTAACTTTGTCAGTTCTTCATAAAATTAGTCATAGCAACTCACCAATGCAATTTTCAACCGTGGTATAAATACAACTGACTTTTAGTAGGAATGGTGTCTAGTGAAAGGCTACAGAGGCAAACCTAAAGCCAAAACTAGAATAAAATCTTAATTGATTGGCTGCTCTGTTGAAACATAACCAGATTTCCTACTGCCAATGACTTTGTCAGTACACCATGCTCACTATGTAATGTTTTAAATCCATCCCATCCCCAAATGCTTCATTCACACCATTCGACATTCCAAGTACCACTCCTCCCATCCATCTGTCCGGCACTTGAAATGCCAAATGCCTTTCCTTTTTTGGGTCTTTGCACAGTTGATACATGAAGAGGTGTGGGGTGGCTCTTGTTGAATCCTCCGCAGACCCCTGGGCTGCAGCTCCAGAGGAGTAAATCAATCGCTGGAGGTTGCCTTAGCATCCAACAAGCGGCGTCCATTTCATGTTGGTTGGAGCAGTGTTGCTGTCTGTCTGGCAGCCCTGGAGATCTTTCAGGAAGGAGAAAGAGCTGGAGCAAAGAAATAGGTGCAAAGCCAAAGCTGCTGCGCAGCTCTCCGGCATGATTGGGTGACTTCACATTTCTTAGCTGTGTTTGGGACAGAAACGTGCCCCGTGGTTCGTAAGGGTATGTTCTTTGTTAATTTGTGTAAGAGACCATCAGGAAGCCTGAGGATGCCAGACCTACCCAGCTGTTGCTGCTTTCAGACTTGTATCATTACAAGATTTTTTCCATTGTGTGTACCACAGGAATTCCATAGCTCCAAGAAGAGCCACATTAAATTTTTTCACCAGAATTTGCCCCTCCATCCCCCCCAAAAAAATTCTAGTCCACCACAAAGTTTTGCAATCTCAAACAGAATTCCTGTTACTTTATTATTCAAAGAAGAAAAAAATAAATAAAAAGTTAGGATGTATCCCTTTCTAACTATGAAATGGTTTTACACATGCATTTTTATTATAAAATGAACACATTTTGTTTGCTTTGATATTTCTAGCTTCCTTGTAAAATGAAAAGTAAACTTTTTGTAGCAATCTGAAATTAGATTAAAAATAAAGTAGCTTTAGCCAACAAGCAAATAACCAATGGGCAGACCAATGCAAATAGCTGTCTTGCTGTCTTGACAGCTTTCGTTCAAGTAATGAGCAGTCCAATTACTCCTGACTTAGCTCCAGTGGCTCACCTGCAGTTGGTTCAGGTGGATCAGGCAGTGTGCATAGAGCTCATCTTTAAATCGTCTGTGACTTTGCTGCTGGCTTCATGTGAATTAGAAAATGAAACAAGACAAAATTTATCTTATGGTATGATTAAGTTTTGCTACTCAACATGAAAAATGTTGGAAAATAAAGGTTTGAAGATGCTATGCAACTAACTTGGAAATACAAACATGGGCTGGTAGGGGCAGCTTCTACCTTTTTAATTCTTTATTGATTCTGTTCGTCAGTACAAGTACTATTTAAGCAAGAAACTATTCCTCTAGGGCCTTCAAGTTAATATACTTATTTTAGCCTCCTTATCCTGTTAAAATGAAGAGAATCGGATTGTTCTGAGTTGAACATCTGTTTGAAGTCGATCTGTGTCCACTGTTAAGGGAAATAATATTAGTGAAGGGAAGCAGAAGGCAGCTTTTCAAAATGATATCCTCAAAGCATTTTCTACAGATGTCTCAGAGGTTCTCGGGGTATTACGAGGCATAAAAGACATCTGGTCACATTTTTATAATCTCATCAGTGTATATAGAAAATATTTTTCCCTGTTTGACTCTTGACAAGTAGAGGTACTGAGAAGCCTTTTTTATTTTAAACTTGCTTATTTATCTTATTGCTGTGTATATGTACCCACTGATTCTTAACTATCCAGATCTGCTCAGTGCTTTATTAAAGCACCAACTTCTCGCACCATAGTGTCTGACTCTCTCCTGCTTACGTACAGTTCTTCAGTGAATCGCTTGTAAAGTAGGAGGTTTGAGGATGTCTTTATACTGTGTTATGGGGCATGTTGTATTTCATCTGCCACTGCTGGCAAATCACTCTTTTCTACTGAAGAGTGCTATTGTACTTTTGTTCAGGGTTAACAACACTTCAGTTTGGTCTGTGGAAATACTTCCTCCCCTGAAGGCAGAATACTAAATTGACCTTTTTTCTGGAGGCGCTGGTGCAGCTTCCAAAATCTCACTGTGATGAACTGCGCCTGGTGTCCAGCTCCTGTGGGTTAACGTGGGCTTCCCAGCCAGGTTCACCAGTTCTGTGGAACCCCACTAAGCCCCCAAAAGTGCTGAAGAGCCTAATTTTGATGAACCAACACAGCAGGCTTTATTTACTGTGATTTGTCATCTTGACCTAGTTTGAAGTGGCCGTTTCTTTCCAAAGAAGTAATTAAGGCAGAAACAGAGAAAAATGCTCTTGGTTTTGTTTTGCCCAGAGGACAACATATTCTGCACTGTTCTGGCATTAAACTGTATTCCTTGAGCCAAGGCTTTTCATTTAAATTGCCAACGTATTGGCAATTTATTTTGTTTGCATGACCGTTTTTCTGGGAGCTGTGTAGCCACGCTCTGCGAGGAGCATTTCTGTTGCCTGCTTTTTGCTACCTGTTTTCCCACTGGTTGGTATGAAGAGTCTTCACGCTACACAGTGCATGGATGTATTTGAGTAAGGATGATTTTATTTTTTTCCTTCTGCTTCTAGACCAGCCCTAGAGCCCCTGTTGTGTGTGCCATATCCATGAGAGCCGCTAACGAACATGCCACTTGCAGAAATGTCCCGTGCCACTAGCACGAGCAGTGCCAGAGGCAGGACGGGGTGGCACGCAGCCCCAGCGGCAGGTAATGGGCCCCCTCACCCACTCAGCTGAGGTGTGGACCTGGGGTGGGTGTCAGCCAGGGGGCTGCTGCCTCCCAGCTTCCTGCTGCCTTATTGTTCTCAGGCTAATGTGTTCAGCGCACAACTCAGCGGCGTTACGTGTTTGTTAGTATACTGTGGCAATAGATTTCCCTTTTGAGCTTATCTCCTGCAAGAATAGATGTATCAATGTGAGGTGTGAAATCATACTGGAGAGCTCTTATCGATACTCACTTGAGTACCCCTGTAGCTAAATCATATTTTTTCAGTCCTTCAGATGGAACACTTCTAAGCTGGTTCTGATTTGATAAAAGTCAATGTTTTCCATTCTTCAAAATGGGTTTTTTCAGCTCTGTTCTTTTTTTTTTTTTTTTTTTTTTTCCCAACCCTGCTCTTTGCTTAGCTGACAGTTTGCTCTTTGCACTAAGTAGGGAGCCTGTCCTGAAAAAGTAGAATAGAGCAGGAAATCCGGCACTTCACTGAGAAATGAATGGAAAGCAGCTTTATCATGTTTTCAGACAGCAGAGAATTGCATCCTTGCGAGAGGTGACCTCCAGGTGGGTTTTTCTAGTTCTGGGATCTGCGGGTAAGAAACCACAGGGGAGAGCTCCATTATATGCACAGGGAATTCACACAAGTGCTAGTTAATAAATGGCTTTCTGGAAACGCTGATAAAACTGACACCACATTTTACTATTAAAAAGTACAAACTTCCCTTTTAAAAAAAAAGAGGGGGTAGAGGAGGAGTAGCCCTTTTATGCTGGATTTTGGCTGTCAAAAGTTTACTGCCAGAACATTTTTTCATTTTTTCCATTACATTCTCTATGTTGTTTTACCTATCTCCTTGGAAAAAAAGAGTTCAGCATTACCTTGCTGCCTAAGCACGGTCTCTTTTTTTTTTTTTTTTTTTTTTTTTTTAATGCCGGTGTGTCCTAAAGGCCACCGCTCCAGTCAGCCCCATTCCAAAAGATGTTCCTGCGTGCCCACGCTTGCACCTTCTGTGTGCTGGAGCTGCCTGTTGGCTCTGGCCCACGCTCACAGGTGACAGCAAGATATGGGCACTGCGGGCTCTCAGCAGGGCGCTCCCTGAGGAGTCTGAGAAGGGAATGTGATGCACAGGAGACTCCTGTGTTGCTCCTAGATTAAAAGATGCGCAGATGTCAGGTTGGGAATTGAGCTACACTTTGTTCCTCCTGTGCTGCTCAGTCATCCAGAGTGTTTTTCTGGTTGAAGTGTTTTTAGGAGCCATGGAGGAATTCAGCAGCCATGTTATGTAAAAGAGCTTTGAAGAGCAACCTGCTTCTCTTGCATAAGCTTCCCCCAGCCCACACGCAGGTGCTTGTTGTGTGGCCGTAGCTGATGTCCGTCAGAAAGGGGTATCTGGTGGTACAGGTAAAATACCAGGAGTAGGTTTCAAAGCTGTTTTGGATAGTACTTAGCCTCTGTCCCTCTGCCCTTCTCATTTCTCAGGTGTTTATGTTGTATCTCGTGCAAAGCAGGCTCTGTGTTACCGTGGGTTTGGGGGACATGGTGTCATGCTGGGTTTCTGTGCACCCAGTGCCTGAGGCAAGTACTGGGCTGACATTGCTCACAGTGAAAGTGGTAACGTTGGCTCTGTTCCTGGGCCGTGTTTTTGCTGTGCTTGTGATGTTGGTATGAACAGTGCCCCTGAACTTCCCGTGGGATCTGGTGGTCTCCTCCTGGCCACGAGTGCAGCAAAGGCAGGCCTGGGTGGTTGTGTGTTAATCCGAACATACAAGCACGGAGATGGCATAAACTGGTGGTCACGACTGGGGACTCCTGAAAAATGCTGACCTTTGTTTTGGTGCTTTTGTGCATGTACGTGCATGGGAAGGGTGGGATGACATATCGAAATCATCACGCCCAGGACAGCGTGGCTGCAGCATGACTCTTCGTTTTGTTGGGAGATGTGGGCAGGGAGGGAGCGTGTGTGAAAAATTTTTGTGAATCTTTTTCTTATTTCTGGCATACAGACAGCATAAGCCAGTATAAGAATGCCTGTGGGCCTGTGATTCCTGCTGATTTGATGGCTTCTTTATTTCTAGCAAGTAGAACTGGAAACACTTTTCCACTCCAGCTCAGCAAAATGCCACCTGTTGCATATATTTAAAGCAGTGACCAGGTAACTGTCTGCTGTGAAGCAGTCTCCTGTTCACTGCTCTGGTTGGCTGTCTCCAGCATAGCCCAGCACGAACTGCCTGTCTCATGGGCAGTTGGAGTAGCGAAGAGCACACTGAAACACGCGAGGCCTGGAGGTGCTGCTCCAGCCTCACAGGACAGCTGGAATGGCGCAGTGATGGTGGGGACGTGCAACAGGCCATGGACCGTGGCACTGTCAGAAACCCTGCGTGGCAGCTGTTTGGGAGCTGTTTGGGACTTCCCAGTGCAGAGCAGACTGGGACAGGCTGGAGAGAGCCCAGCAGGTGGGTGAGGAGTTCCTTCAGCCCGAGGAGGGAGGGCTGGGGTAGGGTGGGGGAGAGCTCGTTGTCTTCTGTGGGTGCCTCTGGCTATGGAATAGCTGGAGCCAGGCTTGAGTTGTAGCAGAGGAATTCCTATTAAATATAAGGCAAAATGATTTGTGGTGAGGGTGATTAAACTGTGAAATAGGTGACTAGGGAGGCTGTGGGATCTCAGCCTTTAGAGGCACTCAGTATGTAACTGGACAAAGCCCTGAGACACCTGGTCAGACTGCACAGTTGCTCCTGCTTTGGTTGGGGAGCTGGGGGAGATGATCTCCTCAACTGTTCTGTGGGAAGTTGTGCCTGACTCAGGTACTGCTGGCAGATTGGGGGAATAAAAGGCAAGGGCCAAGAGGATGGAAAGGTCCTTGAGACTGCAGCTACACCCTGGGGCCTGTTGGAGCAGGGAGCGATGTCCATTGTGAAGAGCAAAATTCTGATCCTGCATGGCCCCTGATGAGAACTGGGGATATCAGACCTGCTGCTGGTGATTTCTCTTTAATCTGTTCACCAGCATCTCCTTTGCTCAAATGCTGGCAAGATCTGCTATATTGCTGACCTGTAGCAATTGCCATTTCATGACCTTTTTTCAGTGGATATAATTGCCAGTTCCATCCTACATTTTTTAGGAAATCATTTCAGAGTTGCTAAGACAGTGATTCCACCTCATTTAAAAAAAAAAAAAAAAAGATGAAAGGTTGCTCAGCCTTCGTTAGGTTAAAAACACCCCTGGTAAATGGCCGGTCATGATTTGGGGAGGAGATTGCTCCTTCCCAGGGTGCAGCGATGTATGAAACTGTAAGAGAACAAAGTTCACTGTCATTTTCTCCTGCCTGCAAAGGTGTCTGCTGCTGCTAATCATCAGGTCATTAACCTGAACAACGCTGCTGGGTACGCGGTCTGCCTGTGCAAAGCATCTCGGTGTATCTCTGCCTCTGAACTCAGCAGAATTCTGCTTCGGGCTGACGTTTGGTGAGGAGACTGTTTTGAGAAGCAGGTAGAGGGAAAGTGGAAAAGTGATTGTGGATGTAGGAGCACTGGGCCTTCTGCAGTGCGTGCGGTCCTTTTACTCAGCACTTCAGACAAAAGATTCATTCACTTAATCTGAAGCATCTTGAGGGAAATGAATGCAGGCAAGTTCAGATCAATTATCACACCAAAAAAAAGAAAAAGCTCGCGTTTCCCTAGGCAATCTGTGTGTACTTCAACGTCAAGCTGTGCATGAGAATATGTTACCACAAAGGAAGGTACTACGCTCTAATTAGCAGTCACAAAAATGAAATACCAAGGTGTTATTTCAGTGACTAAGAGCCAGACACATACAGATTGTGATACATGACTGTTACGTAGATACACGGTGCTCTGAGATGGTTTCTCGCAGGAAGATACGGCGTACTATTAGGCACTCATCACATGCAATCGTGCTCCTTTTTCACAGGGTCCATATAAATTAAGCGTGAAAGGGCTTTAAATGCAATGCTATTTCTGTAGGTATGTATCATAAGTACAGTTGGATGGGAACTTTCCAAGAACACTTTTTTTTTTTCCCCCTGAGAGAAGGGGTTTGTTGGAAAATGTCAGTTATGTCAAAACCAAAATGTTTGAGGAAACCTGGCTGTTTGACAACCTCTTGCTGACATTTTCGTGGGCTGCTAACAGAGAGCTGTCTGGTTTCTCACTGCCTTCTTGATGCTCAGGGACTCCCAGTCCAAGCTCAGGCTCTGCGTATGGGCTGCAGGGGTGGTTGGGACCTCAGGCCTTCTGTGCTGCCTGATAGCATGTCTGGAAGTGGAAAGCTCCAGGCTTCCCAGCTTGAGTGTGAGATGGGTTACTCTGGTCTCCTCGGCAGAGAGCCTTGAGAGCTGTTGTTTCTGTTATTTGGGGCTTTGTCCTTCCCAATTCTGTAGAGTCCCACTGACTTTAAGGACTTCATAGGAAATGCCCCAGAGTAAGAAAGCACACAGAAAATCCTCCAGTGCTGGGAACAATCAACTGTTCCATTTCATTGAGGGGAAAAAAAAAAATGGTTTGGGTTTCCCTACTTTTATTTTCCTCCAAAATGTCCTTAGTTTTGGATATTTCTAAGCTGCTTCTTGCTGTTCTAATTCAGAACAAAGCCTTTCACAAAACATCAGCATTTCCCATAGGAAAGAAATCCTGATTTTTTTTTCTAGCCTATGTACAATGTCGTTGGGTTTGGTTCCTATGGGGATGGTGCTTGCAAAGGAGATAATAAAGCTTAAGCAGGCCACTGACTGAGCCTTTGCTTTTTAAGAACCAATGAATGACCTGTCTCGCCTTTCCTCTCCCTTGGCCAGAAGTGTCCCACGTATGACAAGCCCCCTCCTCTACCAGCCCCATCTCAGAGCCACAACCTTGCTGACGTTGGTTTAACCCATTTACGTAACAGAGTGACCGTGTACAACATTTTGGACCTTTGTTCTGTTTAAGACAAACACCCAGGAGCAGCAGATACTACCTGTGCCATTACTTTGTATTACAGTGCATTTAGTGAAGCACAGTTAATCAAGAGCTGTCTCCCACTGTATTCTTCCTTCTTTCTTCTCAGCTACTTCCATGGCTGGAAGCTTTCTAACGGGGTTTGAACTTAAAGCAGATGAAGCAGCTTTGTCTCCGCCCTGTTTCAAAGCCAGGTGCAACAGAAGAAATAGAGAACAATGATCACTAGGGAGCTTCTCTATGAGACAAATTCCCACTGAAGGAGGGAACCTCTAATGCAGGAGACCAGATACAGTCGCGAACATGCTACCAAATAAGAGAGGACAATTGTTTTACAGTTTGTTTTTTTTATTATTATTATTTTTTATTATTATTATTATTATATAAGAACTGGTACCAAAGCATCTTGAGTGGACTTAAGGCTGCACTCCAGTGCTTCTTCCTGGCAGATCTGAAGTCTCCTGCTTCTTCAGAGGAGCAGCTGCCTCCATCACCGTTTTGGCAGATCTGAGGTCTCCTGCCTCTTCAGAGGAGCAGCTGTCTCCATCACCGTTTTGGCAGATGTGAAGCTTTCTGCTTCTTCAGAGGAGCAGCTGCCTCCATCACCGTTTTGGCAGATGTGGAGCTTTCTGCTTCTTCAGAGGAGCAGCTGTCTCCATCACCGTTTTGGCAGATGTGAAGCTTTCTGCTTCTTCAGAGGAGCAGCTGTCTCCATCACTGTTTTGGCAGATCTGCTGCAGTCTCTGTGCACCACCATGGAGGGCGCAGCTCCGTCTTTCAAGCACCTTCTCGTTGGGCAGCCTTCTCATTCTCAGACTGAGACACCCAAGGCCCAGCGCAGCCTTCTGAGGGGGCCTCCTGTCGCCCCGGCGTAACAGCCCAAACGAAGTCAAGTCCACTCTTGCCTGCTCCTCGGGACTCCGAGCAGAAGAGATGACACCTCTGAACGAGAGGTGGGGATGGGGGATGGGGATGGGGGAGGGGGATAGGGAAGGAGGCCACCCCACAGGCAAGCCTGCTTGATGGTATTTGGGTGGCCTCCCCCCTAATGGCGGCGGAGGCTGTGCCGTGGATATGGAGCTTTCCGGGCGCTCCTGCAATGCAGACGTTTCCTTGCAGGTGGGAGCCCTGGCACGGTGACATTGTGCCAAGCCACATGGGCTGGAGGTGGATCCACCTCCATCGGTTCGTCGACCTCTGGAGCCGGATCCACCTCCATGGGCTCCACATCTGCCGCACCGGTCGCTCCATACCCGTCGTCACTCCTCCGCCGCCATTTACACTGTGGTTCCATGAACCACTTGGCTGCGCGCAGCTGCGGGCAGTTCGTCTTCCAGGGTCTCTTCAGTCCAGCCATGCTGGCAATCGCTGAGAACCTGGAAGATGAGTGAGTGGCGGGCCAGGCGCAGGGGCTTTTATAGGCCCCTGTCACAATGCGAGGGGCAGATGCCACTGTGACATCAGGACGCCTCAGCGATGCCCCCATGACAACGTGCCACGCCCGAGGCCAAGCGTGGCCATGTTGGGAGTGGGTTTCTGCAGCCTGGAAGAGGCCCTTATGTGAAAGGAGGCCTGCAGGTGGGGGAAAGAGAGGGGGCCACTCTGAGGTGCCCCCTTGCCCTCATCTCTAGTGTTCAGGAGAAACCTTCTCTGTGGCTTCTTGCTTCCTCGTTTGGAGGAAGAGCTCTCCCAGCTGGTTGGGAGACTGCAAAAGGATGCCATGTGGAACTCCCTGCAGTGACATACATTTTGGGAAGAGCCAGTAGGAACTAGAAACCTCATGAAGAGGTTGCTTTCGTTATGTGGAGGTGGAATGTGGATGCTGAATGTTAGACGTCTTGGTCAAATGAGTCAGTGCATTTCAAAGCAAACCAAACCGAGCAAATAAAAAGCAATGCTTTGACAAGCACAAAGCTTTCAGGAGCTGTTCGGTGTTGAAATTGTGAAACAAGGCACCCCCAGCCACATCGTGCTTTGAGGTTATTAAGAGTCTCATCACAGAATGGCTGAGGTTGGAAAGGACCTCTGGAGATCATCTGGTCCCACCCCTCTGCCAAGCAGGGTCACCTCAAGCACACTGCACAGAATTGCATCCAAGTGGGTTTGGAGTATCTCCAGAGAAGGAGATGCCACAGTCTCTCTGGGCAACCTGTTCCAGTGCTCCACATTTCAGCCATTACGAGCGTACCAAGAAACTTCTAGACTAAACTGTGCAGAGACTATGCTACGGTGACCTATTCTGTGGGAGAGCAACAAAGAAACGTGGTCAAATCACTGTTCTTAGCTGAAAGAAGTCTCGTATGCACAGTAACCAGGTGCCCTTTCACACACCTTGCTCATCTTCCATTCTTAGCAAATCCCCATAACATCCGTTAGGTTCACACCTACATGTAGGAGCGAGGAAACATTCAGGCTTGAGCTAGCTGGTCACCACTAAGGTCCAGAGGCTCGCGTGCCTTCATCCCAGAGAACAGGTGGCAAAAGCAGTCAGGTTTGCACAGGTGCCCCCCTGAAATCGGTGCAAATCTTGCCATTGATCTTCTACAGTAGTGGAATTAAGCTGACATTAAATGATTTTTAAGGGTTGTAACAGAAGTTTTACGAGAAAAAGGAAAAGAGCAGTTGTGTTGTACATGTATGCACTACCTCCAGCAAGCATCCCAGTCCAGCAATCTCCACTTCCCATGGGCTGCCGTAGTTTGGAGGAGATGGTCAGCACTGGAGGTAAGGCACTGCTAGGGTAGTTAGGCACCCTCACAACTACAAGTCTCAAGAAGCTTGGTAGGTGTGCAGATTTAAATGTGGCACATATGAACTGGAACACCAAACAGCAGCTCTTCAAAGGCAGTCATATGCTTAAAACTTTGTATAGAAGCAGCACTACAATTTGCTCTGATAAGGCTTTCCCCCCCCACCCCCCCAGGGCCCCAAACTGCAGAAAGGAGAAGATCCCTCCCCAGGGCATCACAGTGCTGTGATGCTCCTTTGCCTGCCGGTCACACAGCCTGAAGAAAGCCAGGTCTTGCAAGGAGGCAGGTAAAAGCACAGATGGAAAGAAAAAAGGAAAAGAAAAGGAAGCTGCTGCTGCTGAGCCCCCTTGGGACTCCTGGCAGCATGGCTGAGACCTTGCCTGCAGCCTGCTTGCCTCAGGCTCACAGCATCACCCTCAGCTCCCCTCCCTCGCTCTGCCAAGAGCAACCGGAGGGCATCATCTCTATTTACAGCCAGCAAAGATCAGGGAGATAACATCTCAAAAACGAGGAATTTTTAGATTTAGAAAAAAATCATTTCCTTCTTTTCCATAGCAAAATAGAAAAGGGAAACCAAAACAACAGAAAGAAGAGTGCTCGCAAAGCCAGGGCAGGGAAAGGACTTGAAAAACAATGTTTTCTTTTATTTTCCTTATTTCCCTCAATGCCAAAGGAAACATATATGTATATACATATGAAAAAGTCTCATTCTCATGGTAGACACCATACTTTTTTTTGTTGTTGTTGACTGAGATCGCCTATCTGCAAATTAGAAAGAGCTGCGTTTTGGGACCACATTTCTCTCTTCTACTGAAGAAGTCTGCTAGTTTTTAAATGTTTTGGGACAAAACAAGGAACACAACAAAAAGCTGACCATTAGATAGCCATTGGATGCATACTAAAATCAAACTTGTGAAACTTTCATCTGAGTGTGTGTGTGCTTACAGGAGATAAATATGTAATACGTTACAGGATATCAAAACTGATCTACTGTTCTCTCTTATTTTGCCAGCTCTTTGGATTAGACAACACGGCTTCCCTACCCTGCACTATGAATCAGGGAGAGGAAAAGTTTTTATATTAAAGAATACATTTTTCAAAGCCTGATTATACATTCTTGGCTGAGAGGAATTACTACTAGAAATATTGTGCTGAAATATATTCTCAGCACAATGCAAACGGCTTTTGCTGTGGATTTCAGGAGAGTAATGAAATCTCATTAAACCCCAAAATGGGCAGACACTGCACCTTTCCAAACCAGGTCTAGTTTCCTGACATTTCTACTTTAGCAGCAGATGATTTTAGACATACTTTTAATACACCTCAGTATGTCTGCCTTTCATTGCATAACATTCATTTATGTTTGAAAAGGGAAACGGCACCAACTGTACATCAAATTGCTCCGTACTGAGCCTATAAACGGTGATCATGGTGTCTTTATGCATCAGAAAATGACAAGTTTAAACAGCAAGAATGAGGCACCCTTGTACTGCAATAGCAAATTTTACCCAAACTGCATGGGTGGAAAAGTGCATGTGGTATAACCCATTTACGTAACAGAGTGACCGTGTACAACATTTTGGACCTTTGTTCTGTTTAAGACAAACACCCAGGAGCAGCAGATACTACCTGTGCCATTACTTTGTATTACAATGCATTTAGTGAAGCACAGCTTATCAAGAGCTGTCTCCCACTGTATTCTTGCTTCTTTCTTCTCAGCTACTTCCATGGCTGGAAGCTTTCTAACGGGGTTTGAACTTAAAGCAGATGAAGCAGCTTTGTCTCCGCCCTGTTTCAAAGCCAGGTGCAACAGAAGAAATAGAGAACAATGATCACTAGGGAGCTTCTCTATGAGACAAATTCCCACTGAAGGAGGGAACCTCTAATGCAGGAGACCAGATACAGTCGCGAACATGCTACCAAATAAGAGAGGACAATTGTTTTACAGTTTGTTTTTTTTTTATTATTATTATTTTTTATTATTATTATTATTATATAAGAACTGGTACCAAAGTATCTTGAGTGGACTTAAGGCTGCACTCCAGTGCTTCTTCCTGGCAGATCTGAAGTCTCCTGCTTCTTCAGAGGAGCAGCTGTCTCCATCACCGTTTTGGCAGATGTGGAGCTTTCTGCTTCTTCAGAGGAGCAGCTGTCTCCATCACCGTTTTGGCAGATGTGAAGCTTTCTGCTTCTTCAGAGGAGCAGCTGCCTCCATCACCGTTTTGGCAGATGTGGAGCTTTCTGCTTCTTCAGAGGAACAGCTGCCTCCATCACCGTTTTGGCAGATGTGAAGCTTTCTGCTTCTTCAGAGGAGCAGCTGTCTCCATCACCGTTTTGGCAGATGTGAAGCTTTCTGCTTCTTAGAGGAGCAGCTGTCTCCATCACTGTTTTGGCAGATCTGACATCTCCTGCTTCTTCACAGGAGCAGCTGTCTCCATCACCGTTTTGGCAGATGTGAAGCTTTCTGCTTCTTCAGAGGAGCAGCTGTCTCCATCACTGTTTTGGCAGATCTGCTGCAGTCTCTGTGCACCACCATGGAGGGCGCAGCTCCGTCTTTCAAGCACCTTCTCGTTGGGCAGCCTTCTCATTCTCAGACTGAGACACCCAAGGCCCAGCGCAGCCTTCTGAGGGGGCCTCCTGTCGCCCCGGCGTAACAGCCCAAACGAAGTCAAGTCCACTCTTGCCCGCTCCTCGGGACTCCGAGCAGAAGAGATGACACCTCTGAACGAGAGGTGGGGATGGGGGATGGGGATGGGGGAGGGGGATAGGGAAGGAGGCCACCCTACAGGCAAGCCTGCTTGATGGTATTTGGGTGGCCTCCCCCCTAATGGCGGCGGAGGCTGTGCCGTGGATATGGAGCTTTCCGGGCGCTCCTGCAGTGTAGATGTTTCCTTGCAGGTGGGAGCCCTGGCACGGTGACATTGTGCCAAGCCACATGGGCTGGAGGTGGATCCACCTCCATCGGTTCGTCGACCTCTGGAGCCGGATCCACCTCCATGGGCTCCACATCTGCCGCACCGGTCGCTCCATACCCGTCGTCACTCCTCCGCCGCCATTTACACTGTGGTTCCATGAACCACTTGGCTGCGCGCAGCTGCGGGCAGTTCGTCTTCCAGCGTCTCTTCAGTCCAGCCATGCTGGCAATCGCTGAGATTCTGGAAGATGAGTGAGTGGCGGGCCAGGCGCAGGGGCTTTTATAGGCCCCTGTCACAATGCGGGGGGCAGATGCCACTGTGACATCAGGACGCCTCAGCGATGCCCCCATGACAACGTGCCATGCCCGAGGCCAAGCGCGGCCATGTTGGGAGTGGGTTTCTGCAGCCTGGAAGAGGCCCTTATGTGAAAGGAGGCCTGCAGGTGGGGGAAAGAGAGGGGGCCACTCTGAGGTGCCCCCTTGCCCTCATCTCTAGTGTTCAGGAGAAACCTTCCCACCATTTCTGTGGCTTCTTGCTTCCTCATTTGGAGGAAGAGCTCTCCCGGCTGGTTGGGAGACTGCAAAGACTGACGTCTTGGTCAAATGAGTCAGTGCATTTAAAAGCAAACCAAACCGAGCAAATAAAAAGCAATGCTTTGACAAGCCCAAAGCTTTCAGGAGCTGTTTGGTGTTGAAATTGTGAAACAAGGCACCCCCAGCCACATCGTGCTTTGAGGTTATTAAAGAGTCTCATCACAGAATGGCTGAGGTTGGAAAGGACCTCTGGAGATCATCTGGTCCCACCCCTCTGCCAAGCAGGGTCACCTCAAGCACACTGCACAGAATTGCATCCAAGTGGGTTTGGAGTATCTCCAGAGAAGGAGATGCCACAGTCTCTCTGGGCAACCTGTTCCAGTGCTCCGTCATCCTCACAGTAAAAAAGTGTTTTCTCCTATTCAGCTGGAACATCTGCGTTTCAGTTTGTGCCTGTTGCCGGGCACCACTGAAAAGAGTCTGGTCCTATTCTCTTGACACCCTCCCTGCAGATATTTAGACACACTGCTAAGATCCCCTCTCGGTCTTGTCCTCCCCAAGAGAAAGAGACCCAGTTCTCTCAACCACTCCTCATATGACAGATTCTCCAGCCCCCAATCATCTTTGTAGCCCTCTGCTGGGCTCACCCCAGTACTTCCACTCAACCCCAGGGTTGAGTGGAAGGGTTCAGTGAGCCTCAGCAGACTCCAACCTCTGCTTAGGGATGCCAGGACTTGGCTTTGTGCAGGGACAGCGTTGTGCAGCAGTTCTGCTGCCACGGGGCGGCTGGGTGGGGATATTCTTGGCACAAGCGAGAAGCAGCTAACAGAGGCAGGAGAAGAGCGGCACTGCAGAATGGCAGCTTCAGACCGAGCTGGGGGCATCCAGCACAGCAGCTCAGGGTTCGTTAGCCTCCCAACGGGTTGGGAGCAGGCACCCACACACAACTGGTGTGGGATCCATGCTCAGCAAAGGGAAAAACACTGTGAAATAGGTGCATGTAAGCTCTCCTAATAGCTCTGAAACATCAAAGTAAGATGTTCTCAGATGAGTGTAACAGGCGTCACAATATGAGCTCCCTGGAAGTCAGGTAGAAAGCACAGTTCATTTCTGACAGACTTGTGAAATCCCTTTAACCTGAACTGAAGGCTGCCAGCACAGTAGTTCCCTGGGAGGCTTCTGGTGCTGCCATTGACTTCTCCAGAGGCTGAACTTTCTTCTAAGTAGAACAACTAACTTTGCAGCTCAAGCAAAGAAACCATTGCAAGCCTGAATCTTCGTGCTGCTCAACAGCATGTAGGCAGATCTCTGTGTCTGGATCAGCACCACAAAGAGTGGAATGCTCTCAGTAAAGACCTGTGCAAGTTTGTTTTGATGAAGCAGTAGAGGCAAACAAGAGTGTGGGCTATTCAAGTGTGTGTTTTTTGTTCTGTTTTTCCCCCACTGAAACACACGTGGGTTATGTCCTGCACCCTTATCAGCAGATTGAACCAGAAGACCTGGTGTTGCGAGCCTAAGCTTCTCCCCTGGACTTGGGAGGGAATCATTTTTCTCTGGGATGGGCCAGTGACCCTGCAGCTTTGCTGGTCCTGTGTTGCGGAAGCCTGCTTAGGGAGTGGAGGATCTGCTTGTCGAGGCCAGGCTTCAGAGCTGACTGAGAAACAAGATGGATTTCGGAGCACAGTGCTCTTCGACAGGAAGCGTGCTCTTCACATCAAAAATGGTTTGGGGGCTGCGTAGAGGAGGAGGTGTGACCTCCACCATTTCAAGAGAAAACTGGGGAATCATTCCTAATGGCTGTAAATAAGCTTCCGCTCCATGTTACAATGATTCATTTAGCACATGTAGCTGAGAGAATATTCTGGCAGGAGGAAAATGTCATCTGTAGACAAAACATGTCTATAGTGTCTCAGGAGCAGAAACGGAAAATAGGAAAATACTACAATTGTTAAAAGAAATTGTGAGATCACACAACAGAACGCCTGGTTGTAATTGTAGCTTACTGGCTGCTTTTAGTCTCTTTATGTTCCCTTTGTCTTGCTTTGCAAATTATGCTGATAAATAGAAACAGGCATTGCTCTCTTTAAGTCCTTAAAAACATAAATAGTTCTTCCAGGTGGCATGTGGCTTTTTACTGTCTTCACAGCAAGACTATCCATCATGGCACTTTTTCCTGAGCAACTGCGTCCGCAAATTTCCGTCCCTCTCCTGCTCACATTTACTTGCTGTGCTGAAGTACCAGCCTTTCATATACGCTCTTGCTAACCGTTCTGCCCTCCAGGAGAAGGATTATAATAATTTATCATTTTTAAGCCCAGTAGGGGTGTGTTTGACTGAAGTTAAAGTCATTCACAACACGCATCAGAGGGGAATGAAACGAAACATTAGCCGTGCAGATTTTCTCTACTCCAGGAACCCTGCAAAGAACTGGGAACAATAGGACCGAGTGTTTGCCAGGTGTAGGTTGTTTAACTAGAGCACGCACATTATTCCCTAGAACAAAAGATCTCAATATACAAGGTATTTCATTTTCTTCCACCTCCAAACTGGCAGATGGGTGCTTGCCCTGTGGTTGTTGCTTTGCTGTTTGTGCTTCTTGGGGAGCCTTGACAAGAGATGTGGGGCCAGGTGAGAGCACAAGGCTTCGTAACACACTCAGTTTCCAGGGCTGTGCCCTTCAGTGTGCCAGGGCTGAGTGCGGCACACAGCTGGGATGTGGCCGTGCCTCCCAGCTGCTGGCCCTGCCTGGCTCTGGTGCCTTAGCCAGCATGAGCTGCTGCACAAAGTGCCAGCTGTCTGGGATGCTCCCCTGGCCAGCCAGATGATTTGGTCAGAAAAATAGTCTGTAAAGAGATCATAATCTCCTGCTTAATATACCTCTGAGATGTGTCGTCCCTAAACGTTCACAGGGCAATTTAATGATAGCATTTATTTAAGAAGCTAATAACACGGGTTGTAAAACCTGATATAAAAGCACAATATACCAGCGCGATGGTTATTAGCAGATTGGTTCACACGTTTTGAAAGGTTTGTTAGGGAGAGGCCTTTTAGAAAAGTGTAATAATTCACAAATATCTGAAAAATGTTCTTCCAGGTTCAGGTCTTTAGCACTCTGTTTATTATAAGCTGTACAAAGGTAATACAGGTTTTCAGTCTGCTGCCTCTCCTATAATAAGCTTGCAGATTCATGATGGTCTGTTACTCCTGATAAAATAGAATCTATAATCAGTGTTTCATGGGTAAGTGTGAGGAGCTTACTAGCAAGAGTATCCTTTTTCTCCTTCCTTTACCAGGAGGTTACTCAAGATACACTCTGTAATCTAAATAGCCAGATATGGCAGTACCATCACAGCATTTTATTTTCTTCCCATTTATCCTCTGGGTGCCAATCTGTGGTTCTTTAGAGGCAGTCACATTAAGTCTGTTTTACACAGTGTAGCTGAAACGACACATCACTGAAGAGATGGTGATAACAGAGCTGGCGCAAGGAAGAACTTCCTGGCAGGTAGTCCTCTGCACTGTTATGATAACTGATATATAACACATAATTTCTAGCAAGCTTACACCCCATTGGCTTACACACCACCTAACAGGGGTGAACAGAACAGGCACAAGTAATCTTCCTCATTTCATATAGGATTTGTCATCATAGTCAGGCATTGGGGCAGGCTGAGCAGGGAAGTGGTGGAGTCACTGTCCCTGGGGGTGTTCAAGGAAAGATTGGATGTGGTTTGGTGGGTGATACTGGTGGTAGGGGGGTGGTTGGACCAGGTGATCTTGGAGGGCTTTTCCTACCTTAATGATTCAACAGTTTGGTAGTCAAAAAGGTACTTATGTGTAATAAATCTCTAAGGCAAGGGTTTTTATGTAACCTCAGTAGGGATGGGCAATTTAGCTTCTCTTTTCTTTATGTTACATATTTTCTGTCTTGAATGACATATGTTGTTACTACCACAGCCTGGAAGACATACTGTTGAAGTCTTATGTATGAGCAACGCTTGTAAGTGAGGCAGGGTCTATGTGGAGAGGAAATGCTTTTCCACAGATTAAGTAGGAAAGCAGATGCTTCCAAGAACATGGTCCTTTCTACAGCTCACTTAGCATTCACAGCACTGGGAACACTGAACAAAGCAAATAACAAGTGCCGTTCCCATTTTACAGGACATAGTTGGCAAAGAAACCACACTGACACAAGTGACGCCAAGTCTTCCGAGTCCCATTCAGGTGATTTCTGTTCAGACATCATCTCTAGATGTACACCAAATAGCAGTTAAATGACATGTGCACCGTGACATTGATTTAGCTGAAGCCGAAACAACAGATCATCCAAAGTCAATTTTATCATACACTGTAATTACAAAAACTAATCGTCAAATATTCGCATTTTCAGATATTCATCCTTAAAGCACTCAGAAAAGTAATAATGACTGATAATGCTTAGAAGGAGACATGCCTTCATTCTGTCATCTTCAGCTGTCATTTTTTTTATTCCTAGGCTGTGCATTTGTGCGTCAGCAAGTGCACAGCCTGTCTGGCTTTGCCACGTGGTAAGTCAAGACGATGAAGACAGGAACAAGGGCAGGTATTGCTAAGTGGGCTGAATGCGAGAGAACAGTAGGTTTTGCTGAAGCAGGGGGTAAAGGCTTGAAGGGCTTTACAGATGA